TACCGAGTCCATTTTCAAACCATCTTTCAATAAATTTCTCTCCGTATTGCATTAAAGAGAGAGGATTAAGTGTAGTCTTCTTCATCTCCGAGTGTTGGGATGCCCACTGTAGTGAGGGTGGTCTCGACACTCGTCTTTCAATACGAAGACACGACATCTCACTTTCACAACTTCCTTCCGCAACCTTTCTCACATAAAACCTCGGTCTCGCACTGAGTGCCCTTTCAAACTTCTTTTCGTAACAAAAACTTGAATGGTCGTGGAGTGATTAGGCGTAGGCCTTCTCCTATCCCGAGTGTTGACGTTTACCGTAGGGTTCTCTGTCGGAAAACACTTACCATTCAAAGCCAAAAACAATTTAATAAGAGAACGAAGCTCTCTTTATGTTGAATTAAAGAGAGAGGATTGGGTGTAGACCTCTTCTTCTTCGAGTGTTGGGATGCCCACTGTAGTGAGGGTGGTTTCGACGCTCGTCTTTCAATACGAAGACGCCTCGTTCGCCACACTTTTTCATAATAAAAACTTTGAGACAAAGAATTGGGTACTACCCGTAGGGGTTACTATCCAAGGACCTGTCTCGCCCCTTAAAAACAATCTCATCAATCAAATGTGACACCTTGCCTCGCATGGCGAAAACCTAATCAACTTTCAAAAAGGATATGTTACGTCCGTTCTACCGCAAACAGGTAACGCCTAAGTCTCCAACGAGCGAGCAGCAAAACACCTAACTGCTAGAATGCGCACGATAGCGTCATCCGTAAAAACATCAACAAACCGTAGTTGGCCGAACTACGGCTGCTCTGATTCTTTACTTCGTTCAAGTAAAGATACGTAGGCACAAGGGCCACAATCCTTGCCGAGCACAATCCCCCCTATATCTGTAGTTTCCCGAACTACGTCGACTCTGACTTTCTCATATCTGTTGAGAATACGTAGGCCTAGGACCGCGAAGTCCTACCGAGTCCGTTCTTTATCCTCTCCCCTGTCACCTCCTTTTCCCCGATTCTAAACCTTTTCCCTTTACCCATTTGAAACACTCTTTTTATAGCATATTATTTAAGCAAATAAATTCACACATCGACAAACAAAAGGTTCTCATCGAGTACGATGGATGCGAGGGGTGCTAATACCTTCCCCTCGCATAACCGGCTTCCGAACCCGTTCTTGGTTGCGAGACCAATCTTATACTTTCTTTTCTTAAGGTTTTCTCTATATTTTCCTTTCCCCTCATGGGATAAATAAAGTTCGGTGGCGACTCTTCTGTCCTTTCTTTTCGCCTCCCCGTCGTTGCGCGATGCATTTTTCGAGTAGCGACAGGAAGGAATTGATTATTAAGAGAATTTATCTCCAGTTTCTTCGAAGGACTCTCTTAGGATCATGATGGCATTGGTAGCTCATTTTGATTTAGAGTTGCATAAGACGGTACTAAAGACTGTGTTTCTAATGAAAACATTGAAGACGCAATATATATGGTGCAACCAAAAAACTTTGTGTCAGGAGACCCAAAGTCTATGGTTTACAAACTCAAGAAATCCATTTATGGCTTTAAATGGGCTTCCCGTCAATGTATTACAAATTTAATCAAGTAATATCCTCATTTGGTTTTAAGGCTAATCCCGTTGTTAACTATGTATAACAAAAGTTCTATGGGAGTAAATTCATTTTCTTGGTACTATATTGTCACAGCTATGAAAAGGGCTGGCGGAAACAAACATAAGAGTCGCCACCGAATGTTATTTATCTCAAAGAGTGGGAAAGGAAACGATCGAAGAAAACCTAAAAGAAACGGGAAAAGACAAGGTCATCATAACCAAATCTTGGGTTTGGGAGTCGGTTACGTAGGGGGACGGTATGAGCACCCCTCGTCAATTGTACTCAACGGGATCCATGCTTGTTGTCTATCAAAAAGGGTGAGTTATCTAAAAGCTACTGCTAAATGGGGGAGAAAAAGAAAAAGGAGACTCGATAGGACATCGCCGCTCTATGCCTATGTATTCCCTCGTGCAATGGGAAAGTCAGAGTCAACGTAGTTCAGAAAACTATGGGTGAATGGGGGAAGGTTGCTCGCCAAGACATCATCGTCTTTTGCCTACGTATCCTCATATGGTATGAAAAATCATAGTAGACGTAGTTCAGGATAACTAGACCACAGGTTGGTTAAGTGTTTTTTATGAGTGACATTAGGTTTCCATTCCAGCAGTTAGGGTCGATGTCTGCTTGCGATAGTACGGAAAAGTAACGTACGCTTTCTTGAAAATGATTTAAGAGCAATCCCGAAGAACAAAAAGGTTTGGATTTGGTTTAAGAGTTTTAGTGAAGTGAATTGATTTGGTTTGAGATTCACGTTGCACTAAAGACTATGACATAGGAACGAATGTGTCGCATATCGCCCAAAGGGCATACACTAAACACTCTAGACAAGTAAGGAGAAACCCCTCACTCATCATTTCCCATATACTTAAGGCTTGTGGCGCACAATGCTCATCATTCTTTATTAAATGTTTTAAGATTGTTTGAGATGAGAAGAGAAGACACAAAAGGAAACACTAAAGGGAAACTGAAAACTCTAATGTTGTCATACAAAATGGTCCTAAGGTTAGGATGAAAAGGAAGTCTACCTAATGTTATCATACAAATGATGGACCTAAAGTTGAGATGAATGAGACCATCCTAATTGTTATCATACAAACGGTTGAAAGCCTAATGTCTCTCCTACTCCTATCTTAAACAGAGAGACTAGGAATCCTAAGGGATCATGTGAGCAAGCAGAAGTAAACACCAACCAATTCAATCACAAATGAAACAAAAATGAAACTTAAACAAGTTCCAAAAAGAAAAGGAAGAAGAAAGAAGGAATGCAAGAATGGACAAACAAGAAGTCATTGTCAAACCAAGATGAAGACAACAAGCACATTCATTTCAATCTCAAACAAAGCAAGTATCATCATCAAGTCAACATCAAAAAAACATTCACCAACACAAAGCAAGTTGAGATGAAGTCAAATGGCACAAGAAACATGGTAGGTCCTTCAAAGAATTGCAGAACTTCCAGCCACTGAAAAATTTCAGAGAATTGCAGAACTTTGAAGGTCCTTCAAACCATAACCATTAGAGCTCATAGTGGTTTCATCTGATGCGTCTTTTCAAGACGATCTCAACCATATCATGCGCCATATTTCTTTAAAACATAGTTCACTCGATTTGAAAAAAAAACCAGAAGGAAAAACAAATACAGATTTGAAAATTGAACATCAAAACTCAACCAAAACCAAAATCTAACAATCCTAACAACATCAGCACATCAAAGACTACATCTTAGCAACAAATTTGAGTTGAAAATGGTTAAGAATTGTATATGTTGAAGTTCATATTTAATGTTTTTCTTTTCTTCCAAATAATGAAATTTCTAATAAGAATTAATGGGAACAACGTGTGAAAGGATGGTTTTTGTGACGTTTAACATTATAAAATTTGGATTACAAATTATTAAAAGCAAAGTTATGTCAAGTAATGCTCTACCATTTACCGTAATTTGTTTTAATAAATTATCCACTTAACTGAGTTTATGAATGTTAGTTTGGTTCTATACACAGGAGAAAATAAAGTAAATATGAATGTTAGCTTAGGGGAAATTGATGATGTTAGTTTTTATGAACAAATCTGTAATATTTTAGATGTAGTGTTAGTGTTAGTGTTCGCCTGTTTTTATGGCTATAATAACTATTTATGGAATTGAAATCTTCAATCTGTTTCTCCACTCAACCTATTACTTAACATACCCATGCAATTTGATTGTGTAGAGGGCAATTTGATGTAGAAATTGGAAAATGGTGCAGCATGTGTTTTTTCATAAGTAACAATTTCATTAAAAGCATATTAATTGTTGACTCACTTGAGGGAGAGTGTTAAGAATAATAAATTTAAGTGTGAGTTGGAGTCTCACATTAGTTATAAATGTGGAAAGTTAAACATTTATAAGTAGAAGAACTCACAAACCTGTCACTTTAAAATTTTAGATAAATATATGATTGTACCATTTTTGTCCTAATATTAATACTCCAAAAAAAATCAAAGGAGAAAGTTAAGTCTTATACCGCAGCCAATTCCAAGACGGTGCGGCATATGTTTTTTTATGATGAAATGTCATCTTAGCATGAATTAGTTAGCTGCTCAAAAATAATTCTAAATAAGTTTCACATATAAGTTCCACATTATTTTTTGGATAAAACAATGTTAGTGTTTATATGATTTTCTTCATGCATGAATCATTGACATATTGAATAAATATTTGATTTTTAATGGACTTTGGTGCAAAAATTAAGATATACATTATATTGTTTTGGTACAAAATTTTATTTTAATTTCTAAAAAGAATCTTAATTAGAAATATTAATTTATTTAATAAAAAGGTTTAAAATACAATAAAATAAATTATTTTAGTCAGCTATTTTATATCATTAAAATAATTCTTATATCTTAATTGTCATTGTCAAGTTTTTCAGAATGACCAATTGAATTCCAAAAAAAAATTTTGAGAAATTATAAATTGATTTTTAAAATTGAGGAACTAAAAATTTATAAACGATGAATTGTGCATTTAATATATATATATATATATTTTTTTTTTTTGTTACTTACCTTCTTTTAAGATTCTTACCTCTTGCTTTCGGTTTACTTATTTTCTTCCTTTATCCAAACAACAAACCATTAAGATTCACTTACATATCTCGTCAAAAATTAATCGGTGAAAATATAATTAACAAACATTTTACTTGGAGTCAAAAACATGAATATCACTCTTAAAATAAAATAAAAACTAATTTAATATCAACATCATCTCGTATCTGTATGTCATGCCACACCACCCACCGGTATATCAAAATTTTAACCTAAAAAATCAAAACTTTCATTCTTTGTTTTCTCTGTTCCCCCAATTTTGTTTTCCGGAGACGCTAAACTAGCTCTGATATTCTAAAAATAAAAAGAAAAATCAATTTTGGTCAAGAATGTGTTAACCCCAAAGCACAAATTTCTTCAATGGGAGGAGCATTCCATTGAGCAGTAAGATTTTTCAACTGAAGAAAATCACGAACGCAATCATCAAATTTCATAGAGTGAATTTTCTTCCTAACATCACCAAATTTCTTTCCAGCAACTTTATCAAAAACCTTCTCCCAACCATCTTCCCAACTTTCCTCAGCATTACACAGCTCGAGTGACCCATCGGCCCAATCGGTCCAACTCCATCCCTTCTCAACCCACTTCATCACATACTCCACGCACACACCTACACAAACCGGTTTACACGGTCTACACTTAGTTCCACTTAACGGACCGCGGCTCGAAAATGAGGCAACCGGTACACCGAACCGGGTTGGTGGAAAATCGTACTTCCGGTCCGAAACTATGCAAAATGGGAGTCGTTTTGTTTGGTAGCTTACTTTCTGAGTTGTGAGTTGCGCTTTGAAGGCTGATTCTGAATTGAGATTTGAGAATCCAGCGGAATCTAGTTTGGGAATGAGAGAGAGACGAGATAATGCTGTTGTTGAGGTTGTTAGGTCGCCTATACCGAACCGGTCGTTGAGTCCACCATAGGATGAACCGGATGGGACCAGGTATTGACCCGGAACGAAATTTTCTGGACCGAGTGGGGCGTTCCAGTACCCGTCTACACGTGTTCTGATTATCCAATCGTACTTGATGTTGTTTTTTACTTGGTGTGATTTTATCATTGTTATGCACCCTTCCACCAGGTCAAAGTATTGAATAAGCCCCTGCAAAATGAATGTAAATTTAATTCAATGTATATTCTCTGTCTTTTTCAAACTAAAAATTAACTCAACTTTTAAAATGCCTTGGCGTCTAGGAAAAAAAAGGATTGTGGATAGTTAGACCTGCCAACCCTGTCTAACAGCCTTCTAAGTCCTACCTATTGTCTTGAGTTATTGAACTCTTTTTTTCCTACCAAAGTTTTAATTCAACTCTTACATAAGAAAAAATAAGAAAAGCTTGATTTTAGTCTAGAAGCCAAAAACTTTTATAAATGATTTTCTACCTTAAAAAAGAATTTACACAATTATTTTTAATAAAATTATTAAGAAAAATTTATCTTATTTATTATTTAATTAAAACTGTTATATAACAGACAATATTTTATAATTTTATAGTAAAAAAGAGATTATCTTAATTGATGCTTATGATTTTGATTTTGAATTTGTATATCTATCCAAAATAAAAATAAGAATGAAACCAAAAAAAAAAAAACTAGTGCAAGTTTGTTCTTTTGAAAATTTAAAATAAATATTTATATTTAAAAGAAGTCCTAAACAAAATTACAAAAAATATAAATATTTCTCTTTTTTCAACTTTCTGATTGTATTAGTAGTAACATGTGGCTATATGGACCGAGTTTTTATGTAGTCACCAAACCACACATTTATAATATACTCTAGGAAGATTAGACAGTTTAAATTTAAATTTGATATTAAAAATTAAAAAATAAAACTAAAATATTTATTTTATAAAATCATCAAATTTTAATTGAACCATAAATATAGTGACTGCATGTATTCAATTTGGTGGCTATACTAGTACGGTTTTAAATTACTGGAAGTGGTGAAGTATACTTTTATGAAAGTGAAATTCTTTTATGAACTCTTTTGAACCAATAAATTCACTTTATTATAAAAGAATATACCTACAAATTACTCGAAAAAACAGAGACAAATAAACCTGCGGTGAAAATAGATGTGGGGTACAATGAAGCTAATCCAAAGAGTGATGTTTTCTATAGATAGCGATTGAAAACAGCGAAATCTTAGTTTTTAAGTTATCTCATCAAAAGTGTTTTGAAATTCAAACAGACACATTGATAAAAAAAAAATTCAAACAGATTTACTAAAATAATTTAAAAAATTCTCATTTGAGTTAAAATTAAACACTATAGTAACAAAACACAATAAAAAATAATTACCTCTCACCGGCTTGAATAAGAGTTTAATTATTATACATTAACCAAAATAATTTTACAATATCATCTAATAAAAATTTATTAATTTATTATTTTATATAATTAATTTAAAATTTAAAATATAATGTGGCTGAATACATAAGAGTGATTGATTGAACGGTGTAAAATAATTTTATATTGTTAGTATATACCAACTAAATTTCTTAAATAAATCAATAACTTTTACTTAAAACATTAAATACCAATTGTTTCTGAAATATTCAAAAATTATTTAAAAAAAGAAGATAAATCACTTATTGAGATTATTAACATATTTAAGGGGAAAAAAAACTTTTTATACTGTTGCCCGAATAAAAGCAAACGTGTTTAGGATAAGAACTTCCTATCAAATTTACATTATGATCAAATTTATGTTGCACTCTTTTATGACTAATCACCTTACAGCAATTTTCCTACCAAACTTGAATGGATTTGGAAGCTAAAACGTACTACAAGAAATATAATGGAATTTGTTTTTTTCCCTCTTACGTTACAATCATAAACAGACTTTTGAAATAATAGATGACACAAAGCAAAGTAGTTCGAATCAATTAAAAAAAAAATAATAAAAAAAAGTGGTTCGATTTTGTCCACCAAAAAAAAGTGGTTCGATGCTGTTACTCGAAACAGAATAACAAATTATCCAACAGGTATAATAAACAACAACTTCAAGCAATATTTTCGGAAATTTAGAAAGCAAAATAATAATGAAAAATAAATAAAAGGTAAAAAAATGGAAAATAGTATGAAACCTGGATTCCGTTAGGCGAGTTTTGAGCTGATAGAACTCGAACAAAAGTTTCATTCTCCGGCAACGGTTGAGGCTGAAATATATTTACGGCGGCGATTTTCGGAGCAGATTTCAGCAACGAGAATTTGAATGCATCTGAATCTAATGGACTATGCAAAAAAAGATCAGAATTAGGGTACTCCTTCAGTATCATATCCATTATGGAAGGTCCGGTTAATTCGAACCTCCTAGCACCACCTACCAAACACACTGCAATTTTCGATCGTAACAATTCATCTTTGGAAGGTGAAGATGAAGTAATGTTGCTGAGAAAGCTATTCTTAACTTTCTGAAAAGGAACGTCGAAAAGAAAAGAGAATAATATGATAAAAGCAAGAAGAAGAATCATTAACACAATGAAACGGCGATTGGTATCGGAAATCCATTTACTAAATGGATTCATAAATTTTCTAGGACTTTTAACCATCTCAACTCAACAGTATTTTTTGAGATTAGAATTTTTTGTTGTGATCACGTGATACGTGTAATGAAACTAACAGAAAATAAAATGCAGTGTGAAAAGAATGGTGAAATGGAAGAAGCGTGGTTGATGGGAGTTGGTATTATCGTGAATATATAGCGTGACGAGGAAGCTTGGAAGGTGGTATGAGAAGAAAGAAAAGAGAAGGATTGAAAAATAAAAGAGTTTCTTTGGTATGGTCAATTTAGTTACGCCAACCTGAATTAGTCTTAGACGAGTAGGCTTGGAATTAGTAGTAATGTGTAGTCTGTTTTGAAATGGTACAAAATGAAGTTGTAGTGGTTGTGGTTGTTATAGATTGGATAGGTGGGTGTATATCTAGAAGTTAAGATGTACTACCTCGTACCAAAATATTGTTAAATTAAAAATAAAAATAAAATGGAAGTAATATTAAATATTTACTTGGTGTAATTAATTTTTATTTGTATAATTTCTACCACTTTTAAGTTTTTATATTATTGTTAGAGCAACTTTAGCGTAGGATTATTAAACTAAAATTTTGTATAACTTACATTAGTAGAGTTGACTTGACATCTAATGAACTAAAGTTTAATTTCCATCATCTATAGAGTTAATGTTAACTATTCAATAGAAAATATATTATAATATTATTTAATATTAATAAAATATTTCAACGGCATTAAAGTAATTAAAATTAATGATAATTTGAATAAAAAATTATAAATATGAGATCAAGTTTTGGTTTCTTAGAAACAATTCTCATTAAAGTAAAAATTATTCAAATCAATTATAAATTTTTTAAATCCTATAAAACACTTTAAGACTACAAAAAAATATCTTAATTTACTCATTTAATTTATACTTATTAAAAATGCTTTTATAAATTAGTTAGTCTCTTCCTTTCTCTGCATTAGATTTGTTTTAAGATATTATTGTTTTCTTTTATAAAACTCATTCTGTAATGTACAAATAATAATATGATTATTCAGAAAAAAGAAATAAGATAGGTAGATTTTCGAAACTTGTAATACAGATAAACTTTGGAAAGCCAATATACATTGATGGCAAGTTAATTGTCATTGGCCAAGTTTACTACTACTACCTCGGTCTTTTGAATTCTTTTTTCATTGCCTCTTTTTATTACATATAACACATTCTTTAATTTTAATGTGGATACTTATATTGATAGACAAATAGTACCATGTGTAATAAAAATAGGCTATGGTGTATTACTATTACTCTGTTAATATATTAATATAAGTTTTAATTTTGTTAGTACCTCCACTATTTAACATTGGTTTTTTTACCAATATATTTTTTTTTTAAATTCATCTCTCTGACAAAATATTTTGTTTTTTTATAAGAGGAGGAAGTTTTGACTTTAAAAAATACGGCGTAGGCAACTGTCCAAATGCAATTGAATTAGGTTATTTTATAAATAACTCTTAAATGGTGGTACAAGTATTACACACTAATTATAGTGTTTTAAATTTGATTTTTCTTTCTATCGAACAACTTTTAAGTTTGATTGTGTCAAATAAAAATTTCACCTCCACTATTTATTTATTATTGATTCTTTTACCAAAACTCCTCTATGACAAAAAAAATTGTTTTTGTAGAAACTTTAGTTTTGAAAGAAGCGGTGTATGTAGCTATTTAGATGCAATTGAATTAGATTATTTTTAGAGTCACTCTTAAATGATGGTGCAAGCATTGCACACTAATTATGGTGTTTTAAATTTGATTACAACTTGTATTGAAAACCTTTTGATTAATGATATGAATTGAGTTTGCTTGAGTCAATAAAAAAAACTCACCTTAATTATTTCTTTATTATTGGTTATTTTGAAATTTTTTTTTGTTTTTAAAATCCATTATATTTGTTTCATTCTGAAATCAAAATCGGAGTTGATTAATGATGTAAAACTTTGAAATTAACGATGCAAATTTTTGGTACAAAGGTGTAGAATGGATCTGCAAGGTTAATGCTTCAACGTCCAATTCAGTTCAAAGTTCAAAATGATTATAATGAAAAATGAAGATCAGAAAAATGCGTCTTGAATATCACGTGTGCTGACTATATACGCTGGACAATTTTCATTAGGTATGTGCTTAATTGGACCCTTTCAACCTTTGGTGGACCAAAAAGAGTTGTTTACAAGGCTTGTCGGACGTATATTAGCTAGAAAGTCTTTTGAAGTAATAGTCGGTCCCTTGCGATGATGTGTGACTATGATAAGGGGTAGGGTGAAAATAGGTTGAGCCGAGTTAGACTTTGCCAAACCTGAGTCTGGTCAGTTAAAAAATTTAAAGTCAAAGTCTGACCTTTAACCTAACATGGACTTATTTTTAGGTCTGTGTCTAGCCTTTTCGAATGTCTGATTGTTCTACTAACCTATTTAAAAGACTATTTCATTTGAACATTTGTAAATAAGAAATTCAACTAATTTTAAATACACTAACAAATTAAAAGATCAATAAGATCAAATGTTTATTTTCATTTACTCATTCGAGTTTATCTATTAGCATAAGTTTGTGATATTATTTGTTTGAGAAAACTTATGAAAACAACCACTACAAGAAAATCTTTTCCTAGCGGCATAATGTTGCGACGTAAATATCACGTGGCAAAAAAAAAAGGTTATTGCGACGTGATAATCACGTCGCTAAGGCTTTTTAATAATTAATTAAAAGAACTCAACTTTTCAGAGGGTGAGATGTTGTAAGATTTAAAAAAAAATTATTGTGTCGTGTTAAACACGTTGCAACATATGTTTCTAATTTTTTTTTTTTAAAAGTCAATATTTTCATAAATAAAGTTGTGACGTGTAAAACACGTCGTAATTTTTTTTCAAAAAAAAAATATATATATATATAAAGAGGAAATTTTGAGTGACTGAGACATTGATGGGTGGGCAGACATGTGACCCTTATGACATTTGTATTTTACCAACGTGTAAATCACATCGCAAAGCATCAATTACTTCTCAATTGCGACGTGATTTCCATGACAATGAGTTGGCTACAATTATATGTGCAACGTCCTTCCCCTCAAGCACAGAATTAGGCATGACAACTGGGCGGGTCGAGGACATTTTTTACCTCCCCCAAACTCAAACCTGAATCCTCAAATAATCTTTATTCTTCGTTCCAAACACAAACGGGCATGTCAAATTAAAACTCAAACCCGTCTCAAATGAGTTCGGGTATCCCCGCCTCGCCGCCATCCATTTAGTGAAATCAACTTTTTTAATAGAAAATTGTATTGTTTCCAATATCAAATTATATTACAAATAATAAAATAAAATAATCTCAAAAAATTCCATACATACATTGCAAATGTTTTAAGTAATAAATACAAATCAAAATATTAGCCACATATTTAATTTTCTAAATTATCAAAACTAAATAATAATCTACATAATAAAGTGAACGAGGCGGGTTCGGAAGGGGGGTTCGAGATGGATACTAGTGTCCCTATTACCCGACTCATCCCCATATTTTATAATTAGGAAAATCCAAAATCCAGTGAAAGCGGATTTTCTCCGTCGACTTTGAGGCAGTTCGGGCGAGTATCTGTGCGTATGGGTTATATTGTCATGTCTACACAAAATTATATTTTTGCCTCACTCTTCATCTCATTCTCATCTGGTTTCTCTCTTCCAACCTCTCAAAATTCACTCTTGTCTCTTCCAACCACAAACTTCAAATTTCATTCTTCTCAAACTTTCATAACGGTTTTTTGGCAAAACTGTTGATTAGGTCCTTTAAGTTATTTTAAATATCAAGTTAGTCTCTTAAGTTTTTTTTGTAACGCTTTGGTCCTTTTTTAAAAATCTCTGTTACAATAAATTACAAACTCATATATCATTTGAATTAGTTTTTCGCGCTGATCACAAATATGTAATTAGTGTTGCGTTTGATTATGTATTTTGGTCGGATCGTTGATTTTTCATTATGTATTTCATCCATTTTTACCTGATTGTCATGAACCATAACTTGTTTGATAAATTTGATTGCATATTTGTGATCAGCGTAAAAAAACCAGTTCAAATGGTATATGAGTTTGCAATTTATTGTAACGGAGATTTTTAAAAAGGAATCAAACTGTTACAAAAAAACCTTAAGAAACTAATTTGATATTTTAAAATAACTTAAAGGACTAAAACAATAGTTTTGCCTAATTTTTTACTATTAGATATATAAATCCAAATTTTTTATAATATATTATGAAATTTATTAACAATGTATTAATATGTTTTTATTTTTTCTGAATTTAATATACTATTAAATTTATTATTAAATTTATTTAATATTTTATAAAATATAAAAGATATTAACATAATATATTATATGTATTAAAAACATATTTTATACCTGTAAAAAAACATAATATATATATATATATATATATATATATATATATATATATATATATATATATATATATATATATATATATATATATATATATATATATATATATATATATATAAATTATTTTAAAAAGAGTAAATATAATATATATTAAATAGTTATAGAACAAAAAAATAATATATTGTTTTATAAAAAATAAACAAAAGAATAATATAGAATATATTAAATAGTTAATAGAATAAACAAAATATATTAAATAGTCTATTAATAGATTTTTATTTTTTCCAAATACAATATTATATTTATTTAATATTTTATAAAACATAGAATATATTAAACCAAATATATTAATTAATTATTTAAAAACTATTTTTATATTTATTAAGTAATATTTGTATATATATATATAAATAAACTATTTTTAAGAATATATTTATTAATAATATTTTTACATAAGTAAGTATATATATTTTTTTAGATAAGTAAATAAATAAAATTTGAGTAAGTATATATTTTTTAAAAGTAAATATTATTAAGTAAGTAAAAATATTATTAAATAAAATATATTAAGTAAATAAATATATATTCTTTAAATAATTATATATATA